CCGCGAGTTTACATCGAAAACAAAACACGCATGATGGCCCACCTACAGGATACTATTCGACAAGGCCTCACATACGAGAGAACATTGACTCACGCACGCGTATTCTTGTGTATGATGGAAGAAAATAAAGAAAATGGTGTACTAAAATAGGTACTGTGTAGTATTTAACTGCCTAAATAATAATAAAAACACAGAATGTACTTTTTTAAGTTGCCTCAAGATACTGAGAGGTAAATAAGTAGTTAATATTATTCATGATAATTCATGCTAAATCATGTATTTCCTCCGCCATTTTCCGCAGTTTGGCACCTCACGTCACATCATTTTACCGAAGTCAGCCATATAGCTTCGGCGCAGTGCCGATCACTGACGTTTGTCAACAAAATGGTGCTTGACTCTTGAGACAAGCTAAATTACACCATATTGTTAATGACATTGAGCATACATTTTTTTAAATACCTTCGCGAAGTAAAACTTCTGTACGTAGTACTTATTATTATTCTGTGCTAGCGCTTAAATCAGTCAGTGTCTGAGGTATAGGAACGGCACGGGAGGGTGCTTTTGGAACGTCAAACGTCAACGAGACTTCAAATGCGCTTCAGATTTGTATGCTCTGTCACGTCATAATATCCCAATGTCAACGTTCCCGTGCCGCTCCCTACCTCAGTACGGCTAGCACGAAAAACTTTCGAGTTCGAATCGTTTGCGTTTTTGAATCGCCATCAAAAGATTTAGAACAAAAACTACAACAGCGCCCTTGTGAACGTGTCGTAAAGTGAAATTAGTATGAGAAATGGTTGCACGAAACTTACGAGTATTTTGAGAATCAAAATTGTCACGTTATCGTTTAATTCGATGGTTGAGTATCGAATTTTGTTGAATACGCAAACGATTCGAAGACGAAAGTTGTTCATGCTAGAATTAAGCACTAGACCTAAAATATAGCTTATATCTCTCAAACAAATACACTAGCACTTCTTTTACCACAGTAAATTAAGTATGGTCATTATCAGTCCCATTTATCACAAGTACAAAGGCTCGTTATTTATACCGATCGTTTGCTATTGTTGAGACTGTTTGGAATGTTTTCTCGCCTTAGGCTATACTCAGCTAGGGTTACCATCTAACCCTGAGTTTTATTGAAACTGTAGTAAGTTGAAGCACGCTATCATCTTCAACATCATCATCATTGGCTTTTCACCGAACTAGTATCTTCATCATCATCATTTCAGCCATAGGACGTCTACTGCTGAACATAGGCCTCACCTGATTTCTATAATGACCGGTTGGTGGCGGCCTGCATCCAGCGCCTTCTTGCTACCTGTATGAGGTCATATAGGCCTTTACGAGGTGGTCGATCTACCTCTATAAATAGCACCAGCAAGAATCTCATCGAGTGTATTTCCATGAAAAAAGTGGGAGTGTCAGTGGTCCTAACGCTCTGCTGGAACAACATACTCGTAGCGAACTTAAAAAATAATGCTTATCAAGGCAGGTGTTTGACCACAATCTCACCTGGTGTTAAGTGGGATGCAGTCTAGGATGGTACATTATCTACCCTGTAAGTGCCTATTCCCTATAAACGCCTTGAAAAGGCCCGGATTATAGTCTTCGGGAAAGACAGAAGCAGGAAGCAAATTCCAGTCCCTATCTGTTCGCATTATAAAAGAGTCATCAAAACGATTAATGCAAGCTGATGGCAGGTGAATATTTTTCAAATAGTGAATTTAGTTTTAGTTAATTAAGACAGTGGATAAAACGTAGTATTTTTTTATCTGAGATAATAAGCCAGGCTTTATTAGATGAGATGTTGAACATCCGGAGAAATCCTATTAAGTACTAAGTGCTAACCCTGTCCACAGACTCTAATTACATTTAAACTAATATCACAATCTCTTTTAATGCCAAAGCGATCACGATTTCGATAGCTGTGCTCAAAAATTTATTTGTTATCTTCATTTATGACTACTACTACATGCTTTATGTCTCTTTTACTTGATAATAACAAAATGTTTTTCATTTCAGGTAAGCCAGTTCATTTGGATCGAAGCACAACTTGCAACTCACTCGTAAGTCTATAACAGAGGTGGCCAACTTGATTAGGCATAAGATCCATTGTTTACTAACGAAACCCTGTGCAGTCTACCACTTACATACTTCTTGAAATCCTAAATGAAACATCATAGTTTAGTACACATCATGTAGTAGTTCACATCACATCAAGCGCGAAGCTAAAGACCGAACGCGATGAAGGACTTTTGTGGACGCCCTCTGCCCATCTAGGGGACATACTATGTCCTATTAGGACCTTAATGCCCGTTTTCACCATCAATCCCTATTTTTTATGTGACCCCTATGTAAACAAAATTCCTGTTATTTGTTACCATAGAGGTCACTTAAAAATTAGGGATTGATGGTGAAAACAGGCATAAGTCAAGTAAGTCATGTAGTAGTTGGTAATTACGTTGCGTAGTCGACCGGTTGGCCACCCCTGGTCTATAAAGTAGTCCAAAACAGGTACTGCCATCAGTTTTATTTTTCGTTTTGATGAAATACTTAATCAGACAAAAACATATCCTAAAGCAAGATTCTTATAATCTATTTTAGAACAACAACCAATATCAATTGAAAACTCATATCGTTTGTAGAATTGCTGAAAGCCCGATACTCGAGTTGTTAGCACGCACTTCTCGACGAGTAACAACTTCAACTTTGTTAATACAGATCTGAACTTTTGATATAGCTAGTTCAACAATGTAGGTAGGTGGGAGTTTGCTTGAGAATAAATATAACTTTATCCTAGGCTCTAGGTATAAGGTGAGAAAGAAAGAGAGAGAGCTTCAGTGATAATATTTCAGTTTAAAGCCAGACAGCTTTTTATACAGCGAGGTTACCAAGTTTTTTTAAGTAGTGTTTTATGTAGCTTAAACATTCCTACTTTATATGTAAACAGAATGTAAGAATCTAATAAGAATATCATACAAACAGAATATTTTTTGAAAAGAATAACTTGCATTCTTCTCTCTTTCAGAATTTTTGAAATTGCTTTCATAATACTTTGTTTTCCCTAAGTACAATTCGTACTACAATTATTTTCTATAATAAGTAGGTACCTTTAATCATATTCTTGGCATATTCTTCATAGTTAATTATTCTGTTTTAGTCCATAATTTAAATAAGTGGATCACGAACTGCAAGAATTTTGGTAAAGAAAAATGCACTTTAAAAAGTATTTGTTGAATGCAAATAAAACAGTTGACTAACGACTTCGTTTTTTGAACCGACGCCAGCATTTCGCATTAACGGTTTTTGGTATGTCAATTACACTGCAGTGGTACAATGCATTAAAAAGAAAATATACGAGTCAACTCGGAAAGGGATCAAAACCGTATTGCCTTTCACGAGCTGTCATCGCCTTTCGCGCGCTGTCAACTGGGAGGCGAGACGTTTACGTTGCGGATAAGTGTGCATTGCAGACATACCGCCTTGAGTTGATACGGTTACGGTCCCTTTCTGGGTCGATAAATATGCTACGTCCTGAATTATTACTACTTCCTAATCACGTTCATGTTTTAACAAACTTAAATCTTAACACAAAGAAACTAAACACAAATTCCTTTGTTACCTCAATCTCAGCTGAGGTCTGATACAAAAGTTCGAATTTTTACATTGGCGTTCAAAGCAGTCAGTTTTATAAACAGTCCCGCTTCCAACGGAGCAGCATGGCATGATGATGGGCGCACTAGAATTACAAATCCCAGTTGCGGTCGCAGGTTGGAATATCAAAGGAAGCCAATTAGGTGATGAGCTCGACAATGGAGTTAGATGTTTGTTTTTTACCGAAAAAGATGCAAGCTCTACTTAGCTAACGTTTTTCTCCTTTCCTCTAATTTATTACTGTGCCCGACGGGGCCTCCATACTGACTTATATTATTTTGAATATAAATAAATAAATAATAAATATTCTAGGACATTTTGCACTAGGCTTCTAGTCCCAAACTAAGCAAATCTTGTATTAAGGGTACTAGACGACGGATATAAACATACTTATATACTTTTTTTTGTAAATACATACTTATTATACATAGTAACACCCAGACCCATCACAGAATTAACATTAACATAATTAACATCCTATTAATTTTAATGTGCTATTCCATAGCAATAAGGAATTTGAATTTGAACGACTTAGTAATCACACACAGATTATTACAAAACTATATTACTACGTTCTTGATAAAATAAGCTTAAAATTAAATATTAATATTCTTTTACTATACTCACTTTTCCAATAAAAGAAAACAGCGAGTCAACCGACGGTAAACAATTAACAACAGACTAATTCATCACTAAGGACATCGAAGCTAATGGATTTTTTGTAATCTATTTAAGCTTTATCAAGTGTCTACTATGGCCAATTAATTAACTGAGTACCGAACCCAAAATACCTTGAACTAGAAAACCTTTTTAGTACATTTCCAGGAATCCCTAATCTGTGAAAAGTTTTTCAATAAAATAAGGCATTGTGTATTGTTTCAAGATACGCAGATGAAAGGTTATGTTAAATCCTTAACAAGATCGTTATCTTCGAGTTGTAATGCTTATTGAAGTTACAGGTAATGAGGTTGCTCATCAGAGATGTTCCAATTTATTGTATTTGAATTTGAAATAGGAATCGGATAATTCTTTTTTGTTAACGTCAAAAATATAAGTTACATCAGTCACAAAGCAGTCAACAGAGTGTAATGCATAACACTCAAAATCGAATGACAACCAATCGAATAAAAGCTGTAACATGCTTTGAAAAGTATTCTCCGATACAGAGCAAAGTCCTTCTTATCAACGCTATTTTTACGCGAAGCCCTAAATACGAACATTACTGGCCAGATACAAATTCCTCGATGTCCCGGGGATTTGAATTTGGAACTACAAGTGCTCAGTAGGAATCAACACCTACCTGTGGCGGCTGTAGCATGTGGCTCGGACGACAGTCGCGCGCAGGCTTCCACGCGGTGCGGTTGTGTGCCGTTATGCCGCCCTAGGCCGTACGAACCTCCGACCATGTTTCCCACCCGTGGTAGGTTACAGCTGGCCGGAAAAATAATTGCTAAATTAAAAAAAAATACAAAACTTTTTTCGAAATCATGTGACGAGTGCGTGTGTTAGGAGAGCGTTTTTTGGGAATCCACACCACCTGTTGGTAGCGATTTGGCCAAGTCAGATGGACAACGTCACAAAATGTTTACAAATGGACTCCCCCCACCCTTGAAAGTGACGCAACGTTTTTATGGGCACCGTGAGCGTTACCATGGCGGAAAAACAACTCGCGTGAAAATAGATTTCCGTGTTTCCACCTGTGTTGGACGTTCATTGCAGTTGGAACTTGAATTATGGTCCTTCCAACTCGGGAATTCACTTGGTGTATAATTCAAAAACTCGTCGGAAAATTTCGTAGTTACATTGTTTCAGAAGGAATTCCAAAAGTTTGCTTCACAAAATGTTAATGAACAGCCGACAGGGCCCCATTGATAGTTCATTAACATGCGGCTGGTTTGGATAAACAAAAGAATTCTTGTTCCGTAGTTTTGCAATTACGATGGACAGTTAAGTAAATCTAATGGAAATTAGATGAAAAACATATGCCAAAGCTAGTTCTGTTAGCAATTTGGAAACGGTAAACACTATAAGTAAAAACTTTAAGGGCAATTTAAATCATGCAAAAACCATATCTAATTATGTATATTTTCAAATACAAGTACCGGTTCATGGACTTGAAACAGTTTAATATCGCAGATTGGTTTGACGCAACAACCAGTAAAACCAGTTACCGATAGATTTAACTGTACAAAAATAAATAACTATTACTATATCATGGGGCAATTTTAACTTGATTAATTTTAACTGTCATTCACGAGTAGTCGATAATTTATTATTCAATTTAAATAATGTCTAACAGACTTTATTGCCATTACCGTAATACGTCAATTTGCGAAATTGAAAAGATGTTTTATTTATTTGAAATGACCTTTTTGGTGGTTTCATTCCAATTTTAGATCATTTACGCAGATTGCGTCAAAAATAGCCCGAATTATAATCGCCGTTAAGCTGTTAATTTTTATTTTGTTTACATTAGAGTGGAGCATTGATAACTAAACGCAACTATTTACGAGCTGGCTGTAACATATCAAAATAGTATTAATAGTAAACATATCTGGCGCGTGTGAACACGAATTTTAGTGAACAACAACAGTGACGAGTGATTGTGATTGATAACGGTGTTATTTGTGACTATTTGTGATTGTGGAGGTGATTTTTGTGATTGTGGCGGTGATTTTTGTGATTGTGGCGGTGATTGTTTGTGATTGTGGAGATAGCGTATGATGTGATGATGCGACGAGGGAAAGCCTTGTTGGAGGGGAGCAGGCAAGGGTCTGTCGACGGCAGCAGTAACGTGGGCAATGATAAGGAGCTGGTGCACAAGTGTCACAGTGATCCTGGGGGCGGGCGGGCGCTTGGGGCGGCGCCCCGGACGATAAGGCACCGGTCGGCGTCAGGCGCCCCGAGGAAATGCGTGCTGACGCTGGATGGGTATTCCTATGTCATTGGTAAGTCTCATTTGTTTTTAGTTCGAACTGATTCTTGAAGCCGTAAGGTTTTTAACGCCTTTTCTATAAAAAAAGAACATGATAAACGGGACGAGAAACGCTGAGCTATCCATAAATATATCGCGACATTCTTTATCGATAACTCTTCTTTGGTCTATTCTACAGCTTCAGCCTGTAAATGGTTATTGTTGACCGATGTCAATATACAAAGGTAATTGTTTAACTTGGCCGCTGCGATACAAGCTTTCTAGCTGAGTGCAGAGACCGCCAGAATAAATTGTACATGTGACATCTTTTAGAAATAAATTATTTTTACTTTTACTTTACTTTGTAATGATAAAATCTACTCTTACATCTGCTCTACTACAGTGTTAAGCTTTCTCATATCGGGCTAGTGATGTGTCAACGAATCGGGCTCCCATTTTTTTAGAATTTACTAGGTCAATTGGTGAAATGAATTTTAACACAAGATGTTGCCTAATAGTCCAGTCATTAAAGCATTATAGATGGAAAACCGTGGAACACAATTTCTGACCTCGGGACTTTATTTAGACTAGTTAGGAGGTGAACATAGCAAAAGTCCCCGCCCTTAGCCCTTGAGCCGGCGGGAAGAGGGGGGTTTAAAGGTACCACTTTTCGGTTTTTTGCTTAATCCTCGGAAACTATGCGTCCTAGTGACATGACTACAATGAACCAAAAAAAGCTTATTGAATTTGCTACAGGTGAGATCGTCAAGTTTTTCTATATCTTGTATAGTTTTCGCGGTATCTACTCTAGAAGGTCTGTAATATTGGAAATTTTATTTTTGTCTTACATGTTCCCATCGACTAAATCAACATTGAGCAAATATTTTAGACATGCGGAAGCATGTTAAGCCTAGTTCCAGGGAGGGGACTGCACCGTGCGTATACTTAGACGAACCACTTGGAGCCACTTTTGACTCCTCATCACTCAAAAAGTACTGTGTGTTAACACTTCAAATTTGGCTCATGTGTTGAGACTTGCAAAATAAACATCAGCTTCAAATTTCATAAATATACCTCAAACGGTACTTTAGGTATTGACGTCCAAAAATCTACATGGCTGACCTATAAGACCAAATTCTAACCACTTCCAGGTGACCTAGAAGGTTCAAATTTGGCATCCAGATAGGTAGTTGTGTAAATACAAAGGAACAAATAAAAAACCAGTAAATTTTAACATTTCACAGGTGATAGATAGATTTGAGTGTCCTAAACGTCGATTTTTGAACGTCAATACCTAAAAAACCGTTTGAGGTATATTTATGAAATTTGAAGCTGATGTTTATCTTGCAAGTCTCAACACATGAGCCAAATTTAAAGTGTTAATGCACAGTACTTTTTGAGTGATGAGGAGTCAAAAGTGGCCCCAAGTGGTTCGTCTAAATATACGCACGGTACAGTCCCTTACCTGGAATTAGGCTTAACATGCTCCCGCTTGTCTAGAATGTTTGCTCAATGATGATTTATTCGATTTTCTCCTGTTAGGAACATGTAAGACAAAAATAAAATTTCCAATATTACAGACCTTCTAGAGCAGATTACGCGAAAACTATGCAAGATATATAAAAACTTGACTCTCTCACCTGTAGCAAATTGAATAAGCTTTTTTTGGTTCATAGTAGTCATGTCACTAGGAAGCATAGTTTCCGAGGATTAAGCGAAAAACCGAAAAGTGGTACCTTTAAACCCCCCTCTCCCCGCTGGCTTAAGGACTAAGGGCGGGGACTTTTGCTTTGTTCACCTCCTAACTAGTCTAAATAAAGTCCCGAGGTCAGAAATTGTGTTCCACGGATTTCTCTCTACACCGTCGTTAAAGCATTCATTGACTGGACTATAAGCTCAAAATAATCCCAGATTCTAATGTAAACAATGAATTACAGAAACAACTTATGTGCGACGTTATACTTTAAGTAACTATATTGAACAAGAATGTAGTTTAATGCCTTGATTAGAGTGATTTGATTAGTAGGTTAATGACTTCATCAATTGAAATGTTTTTGATTAATTAACTTGCGTCGTATCAAAATACTTATCGAATCATTAACTTAGCATGTTTAAAGCTTAGTAGGTAGGTAAGGCTACATACTGGGTAGCAAATAAATAAACATTAGTGACCCTGACTTTTTATGACGCCTTTTAGGTAGATCGATGCATTACTAGAATGAATCGTAAATATTTCAAAAGTTGGCTTATCTGAAGTATTATTACTAAAATCGTTACAAATATTACAGCTGATTATGTAAAACAGGGACTTTCGTATTATATCAAATGCTTGTAGTTTCCTAGCGTTCTTCAAATGCGTATATATGCATTGTTTATGTAAAATGTTAAATTAGACTTGCCGTGCTCTACATTTTTTCACTAATTCTCTAAAAAACACAAAATTCACACGTCAATAAACTTATTTCAGTAAAAAATAATAACCAATAAGAGCAGCTTCAGAAGCTCAGTTTAATTAAGCCATAATTATAACTTTTCAAAGCCCATCACCCTAATTATCAATTATAAAACTTTGAGAGGGGAAAAGGAATCAATCAATTCGGGAAGAGATGCTTACATCTGTAATTGGCAAGCGTACTTAATTTTATATTATCTTTATGGAATAAAATTATTCTCCCAAAAATATTTGTTTAGACGTTGTCCTTTTGGCTCTGCATTGGTATAAGATTTTAAACTTTCGCGGTCCATTTTAACTAAAATAAAAAAACACGGGTCTCAACGCGACATTTTTTTTCTCACTCACGCATAAAGATCCCGCGTTGAAACTTTGAAACCCATGTTTCTCTATTTTGTGCATTGGTAACCAATGAGTTGAACAAACTATTGCATGATTAATTACATTTAAATAAACATTAGATTTGGCATTGATAAGGATTAATATCAATATGAAGTAAAAGCTGTAATCTGGTAAGCGAAGTAAACGACCTCTAAAATCAAAATAAAAAAAAAACTAACATTCATGCTTGTAGAGTTATTGAATAAAGCTTTCCCAAACTAGAAAATTCACTCCGAATTCGACCTTTTGGTACACAAAAACGAGAAAAGTGACATAGACATTTCCACTCTAATATTATAAGATAGCCAAAGTGTATCCTTCAAAAAATCCACTCACGCAACTCATCCCAGCCTAGGCACGCAGCCCTCTAGGGAGAGAGTTGCTTCAAGCAATAGTTGGGGATATATCTAGGGCTTTTTGGGGCAACTTATGTCACTCGCACGTTCGTGACGGTCAGTCGTGAATCCCAGTGGTGAATGGAAAAAATTTGTGACGTGAGTTTTGTTTTTTGTCGGATGATTTTTCTAAAAATAAATAGGGACTAAGAGCAATGTTTTTCAATTACTACTACGAGTATATAAATAAGTACAGTAATGTAATGTCATATCGTTCCAATTTCACGCAAAAAATGTTTTTAGGTTGGTCCAAAAGCACTATCATGCCTATATACTTAACTAAAGTAAGAATCCCTACTCAGCAGTTATGCCTTATTTATTGCAGATTCAAGCTTTTCCTATACAAAAGGTACACAATTAAACGTAAAAGCTCTCGGTTACTCTCTTATCGAAATCCCTTTGCAAAGTGTTTAGACTTATTTAATGAGCAAAGGCCATTATGCAACGAATATACCTTACTAAATTATTAATAAACATTAATAATGCCTTGTTGCTCATCGTGCAAATATTAATTGCTTGGTGGGAGTCGAACCTTTGACCAACCTTTGTAATCCCGGCCTGAAACCACCGAACCAAGCGGCCATCTTTAAATATTCACACTCTGTGTCGGTTTTACCTGTTGTAAATGTATAGCCAAAATAAAGCCAACGCAATTTCAAATAATACCTACCTTGCTCTGTTCACATTCATATTCATTCGGTATTTAGGAGCTTTCTAAGTAGGTATACTTCATTTATTTCAGTTTCTAAGGTTATTAAATGTTACAACTTCAATAAGATGTTTAAAATAATAGTTCACTTCTGGGCGTAAGCCTTCCTCAACAAATGCAACATAATATACTATTTCAAATTATGTTTGTCGAATCAATTCATTCAAAGGTTCCATTAATGACACCTCAATTGAATCCTCAAATCAATCAAACTCACTCACTGACTGACTGACTGATCAGGGGTATTTTTGGGGTATTTAGAGGGGAGAGGGGTAAAATTGTTAATGTTTGTTTTAAACTAGATTTTTCGACTGCCAGCTTTATTATATTTTTTGAACCAAAAAACAAAATGGCGGCACTTTTTGAAACACCAACTTTTTTGTTTTCAGTCCTGAATTTTTTCTTTTTTGGGAGTTTGTTGGGGTTGCCAAGGTGTGCTAAAAAAATTGAGAAAAAATTAGAAAAACAAAATGGCCGCGCCGCCATCTTGGATTGAAATTGCGATTTCGGGGTGTTTTTAGGGAGGTGTCACTCCGAGATGCGCCATTTTTTTTTTAAATTTCTTTTGAGTTTTTGTGACTTATATAGTCTGCTTTAAGGCCACATTTACAGATTATCAAAAAACAAGATGGCGGCTGAGCCGTCGGCCATTTTGTTGCGATCAAAAAATTC